TCGATGAACCTAGGGCTTAGCTTGCCCTTCTTTCCAAATCTCATCACGCCCTTCATGGGCGACACCCGAAGCAGCACTCGCTCTCCGACCATGAATGCCGGATCACGAACCTTACAGTCGGCATAACTCTTCTGCCTAGACTAAGCTACACGAAGCCTATCCTGAATGATCTTAACTTTCTCCAAGGCATCCTGAACTAAGTCTGTACCCAACAGCCGAGCCTCTCCCGGCTCAAACCACCTAACCGGCGACCATCACTGCCTACCATATAATGCCTCATAGGGAGCCATCTGGATGCTCGATTGGTAACTGTTGTTGTAGGCAAACTCTGCTAATGGCAAGAACTGATCCCAAGAACGTCCAAAGTCAATAACACATGCTCGGAGCATATCCTCCAAAATCTGAATATTACGCTCGGACTGTCCGTCCGTCTGAGGATGAAATGTTGTGCTCAACTCAAATCGCATACCCAACTCACGTTGACTGCCCTCCAGAAATGCAAGGTAAAATATGTACCTCGATCAGAAATGATAGACACGGGCACACCATGAAGAGGAACGATCTCACGAATATAAATCTCTGCCAATCGCTCAGAAGTGTAAGAAACTACTACGGGAATGAAATGCGCTGACTTGGTCAGCCTATCCACAATAACCCATATTGCATCGAACTTCCTCTAAGTCCGTGGGAGTCCAACAAAGAAGTCTATAATGATTTTCTCCCACTTCCACTTAGGAATCTCATTCTTCTTAAACAAACCACCAGGTCTCTGATGTTTGTACTTTACCTGCTGACAATTCAAACACCAAGCTACATACGCAACAATATCCTTCTTCATCCTTTTCCACTAATAATGTTGCCGCAAGTCCTGATACATCTTAGCGGCGCCCTGATGAATAGAATACCAGGAACTATGGGCCTCCTCTAGAATCAACTCACGAACTCCATCCACATTAGGCACACAAACACGACCTTGTATCTTCAAAACCTCATCATCTCCGACCGTAACCTGCTTGGCTCCTCCATGCCGCACTATGTCTCTAAGGACAAGCAAATGAGGTTCATCATACTTCCAATCTCGGATACGCTCAAATAATGAAGAACGAGCAACTGTGCAAGCTAGAACACGGTTGGGCTCAGAAACATCCAACCTTACGAACTGATTGGCTAAAGCCTGAACATCCAAAGCAAGTGGTCTCTCACCGACTGGAATATACGCAAAGTTGCCCATACTGGTTGACTTCCTACTCAAAGCATCGGCCACTACATTGACCTTCCCCGGATGATACAAGATGGTGATATCATAGTCTTTCAATAGCTCTAACCACTTCCTCTGCCTCAAATTGAGCTCTCTTTGCTTGAACAAATAGTGCAAACTCTTGTGATCTGTGAACACCTCACATGACACGCCATATAAATAATTCCTCCAAATCTTCAACGTGTGAACAATGGCTTCTAGCTCCAAATCATGAACTGGATAATTTTTCTCATAAGTCTTCAACTGCTGCAAAACATATGCAATAACCTTACCATTTTGCATCAACACAGCACCAATTCCAATACAAGATGCATCACAATATACTGTATATGGCCCTGAACCTATGGGCAATAATAACACTGGCACCGTAGTCAAAGCTATCTTGAGCTTCTGAAAGTTCACCTCACACTCATCCGACCACCTGAACTGGGCACCCTTCTGGGTCAACCTAGTCATCGGGGCTGCAATATATGAAAACCCCTCTACAAACCGACGGTAATAGCCCGCCAAACCCAAGAAACTCCAGATCTTTGTAGCTGATGTGGGTCTAGGCCAGTCCTTGACTGCCGCAATCTTCTTAGGATCCACCTGAATACCCTTTATTGATACAACGTGACCTATGAATGCTACTGAACTCAACTAAAACTCACATTTTGAGAACTTAGCATACAACTGACTATCCCTTAGAGCCTGAAGAATGACTCGAAGATGTTGTTCGTGCTCCTCCCAGCTGCGAGAATAGATCAAAATATCATCAATTAAGACAATCACGAAGGAATCTAAATAAGGCTTGAACACTTAGTTCATCAAATCCATGAAAGTTGCTAGGGCATCTATCAACCCGAATGACATCACTAAGAACTCATAATACCCGTACTGCGGAAAGCTATCTTAGGGACATCGGATGCTCTAATCATCAACTGATGGCAGCCAGACCTCAAATCAATCTTCGAAAATACCTTGGCACCCTGAAGTTGATCAAACAAATCATCAATTCTCGACAATGGATACTTTTTCTTGATGGTGACTTTGTTCAAATGCTGATAATCTATGCACATTCTCATCGACCCATCCTTCTTCTTAACAAACAAAACCGGCGCACCCCAAGGTGAGACACTAGGTCTAATAAAGCCTTTATCAAGCAGGTCTTGCAACTGCTCTTTCAATTCTTTCAACTCTGGCGGGACCATACAATACGGCAGAATAGAAATGGGTTGTGTGCCCAGAGCCAAATCAATGCAAAAGTCAATATCCCTGTCGGGTGGCATCCCCGACAGGTCTGAAGAAAATACCTCTGGAAACTCACGAACAACGGGCACAGAATCCATAAAAGGAACCTCAGCACTAGAATCACGAACATATGCCAAACAGGCCAAATATCCTTATCAATCATACGCCGAGCCTTCATATATGAGATAACCCTGCTGGTAGAATGACCAGGAGTCCCTCTCCACTCCAAATGAGGCAACCCCGGCAATGCTAAGGTCACGGTCTTAGCATGACAGTCCAATATAGCATGATAAGGGGATAATCAATCCATCCACAAAATGACATCGAAATCCACCATATCGAGAAGTAGGAGATCTATGTTAGTCTCAAGACCCCCAATAACAACCACACACGAATGATAGACATGATCTACCACAATAGAATCACCCACCGGTATACACATATACAGGACCACTCAAAGAATCACGAGGCACAACCAGATAAGGGGCAAAATAAGATCACACATAGGAATATGTCGACCCTGGATCAAATAGAACTGAAGCATCTCTACTACAAACTGAAACCGTACCTGTGATAACTACATCGGAGGCCTCAGACTCAAGTCTGGCTGGAATAGCATAACATCGGGGCTGAGCTCCACCACTCTGAACTACATCCCTAGGATGGCCTCCTACTGGTTGGCCTCCACCTCTAGCTGACTGACTGCCACCTCTAACACATCAACCCCTACCTCTAGCTGGCTGAGCGGGCGGTGGAACACCCGGTGCTGGAACCATAGCACGAGAACCCTAGTGCTGAGAACTACTCGAGACTCGAGGGCAAAACCTAGCAATGTGGCTCGTATCGCCACAAGTATAACAAGACTTCGGGTGCTGAGACTGTTGACCCTGGAACTAACCCTGATAGCTTGAATAACCACCCTGAAAACTCTGGAGCGGAGGTGCACTTTTAGGAGCTAGTGGTGCACTATAGGGCAACTGATCAGAATACTGCATATGAGAACCACAGCCACCTGGAGCACTGTTAGAAGCCTGAAGTGCTGAATGAAACGGCCTGGGAGGATGGACTCTACCAAAAGAATCCCTACCTCCAGACGAGGCACCACTGAAAGTGCTAGAATGACGAGGCCTCTTGTCAGACCCCCAACTGCTCCCCTGAGCTAGAACCATCTCAACCCGCCTAGCCACATTGGCCACATCTTGGAAAGAAATCTCGCTCCAGATCTCCTTAGCCATCTACAGTCTAATAGGCTGAGCGAGTCCCTCAATAAACTTCCTCACTCTTTCTCTCTTTCTCTCTCAGTAGGGAGTATCAAAAGAGCATGATAAGACAAATCAATAAACCTCGTCTCATACTGGGTGACAGTCATAGAACCCTGCTGAAGCCGCTCGAACTGCCTGTGGTACTCCTCTCTCTGAGTGGCGGGAAGGAACTTCTCGAGAAATAACTGGGAGAACTGGTCCCAAGTGAGAGTTGGTGACCCAGCTGGTCTAGCCAAACAATAATCTCTCCACCATTTCTTAATAAAACGTGATGGACGAAAAGCAACAAAGTCGACCCCATTGGTCTCCACTATCCCCATGTTCCGAAGAACCTCATAACAGCTATATAAATAATCCTGGGGATCCTCTGAAGATGTACCGCCATATGTAGTAGTGAAGATCTTGGTGAACTTATCCAATCTCCACAAAGCATCTGAAGACGTAACTGATCCATCACTGATCTGAGCTACAACACCCGGTGGAGCTACCCCAACTGGCTGAGCTGTTGGAATCTGAAACTGGAGAGCCATTTGCTCTGGAGTCCAAGTAGCAGGAGTCTATGCTCCTCCCCCAGCCTAAGAGACGGCTGGTGCCACAAAAAGTATGCATGCTTGAATGACACTCTCCATAAGGCCCACTAGATAGACCAGAGCATCCTGGAGTACTGGGGTAGCAATGAACCCCTCTAGGACCTGAGATGGGCCCGCTGGAACTGTCTGGGTCGGAACCTCAACATCAAAATCTACTTGAGGCTTCGCCGCTGGTGCTACTGCTCTGGGCTGAGCTCTGCCCCTACCTAGGCCTCTAGCACGAACTCGGCCTCGCCCTCTGCCCCTCGTAGGAGATGCCACTGAGGGCTCGGGCTGCTGATCAGCTGATAAAGCGATACGAGTTCTCGTCATATGTGAAAGAATAGAGTAGAAGTTCAATTAGCATTGAGAAATCAACCGCACGATAGAGATGAATAGAAGTGAAATTGTTCCTAACTCCGTAGCCTCTGGGGGATAAACACAAATGTCTCTGTACCAATCCCTCAGACTCTACTAAGCTTGTCCGTGAATTGTGAGACCTAAGCAACCTAGAGCTCTGATACCAACTTGTCACGACCCAAATTTTTGCACCGTCGAGACTATGATGGAGCCAAACATTGAAGCCACTAGGCAAGCCAATATTACTGGTTATCCTTACCTTTTTCTTTTATCTTTAACAATTTACCAGATGATATAAGAAAATCAGCGGAAATCAAAATGCAGAAGAACAGAATTTAACAGTTTAACTTAGTACAATTACGAAACTATAATAAAACTCCACTCAGAACTGGTGTCACAATCTCACAGACTGTCTATGAAGACTACAAATAGTGGTCTGAACAAAAAAATACAAATCTCTCTCAGAAATAGATAAAACAGAAGGAAGCAGGATAGAAGGGGGCGCCAAGGCATACGGACATCTGCAGGACTACCTCGGGTCTCCACTACACTAAAGGCAGCAACCTCTATCTACGATCTGTCGGGTCCAGTACCATGATCTGCACAAAAAGTGCAGAGTGTAGTATCAATACAACCGACCTCATATACTAGTAAGTGTCGAGCCTATCCTCGGTGAAGTAGTGACAAGGCTATGACACGACCAACATCATAACCTATGCAGTTAAACAATATCTAACAGAATAAAAGTTATAGAATCTAACATAAATTAACGGGAAGGGGCAGCATGCTAGGGGGTATACCAGAATAAGGAAACACAGAAGTAACGGAAACGAAACAATTAAGGCACTTGAACCGATGACAGCAATTAATCACAGCAAACAGGAAATGAATACATGGCATCACCCTTCGTGCTTTTACTCTTAATCCTCACCATGCAATCAATAATGAAAAATGTGTACGGCATCACCCTTCATGCTTTATCACTCTTCCTCACCATATGAATATTAGAAATGTGCACGGCATCACCCTTCGTGCTTTATCACTCTTCCTCGCGATATGCATAAGTATGAATGTGCACGGCATCACCCTTCGTGCTTTATCACTATTTCCTCACCCAAAAAATAGAAAAATAATAACATCCCGGCAAGGGAACCAACATTGAACTAATACATCCCGGTAAGGGAATCAGCTATAACCAATCTTGTCCCAACAGTTAACTTCACAAAATGAATCTCAACTTGAGTCAATACTCAACAAAGGTCAATTACTAGGAAAATACCACAAGTCTTGTTCAACATGGATAATCGTCAGTTTAGGCATGAATAGTATATAATAGGAACCATAACAATCACAGTATAAGACTCACGGGCATGCTCGACAGCAATGTATAGATGTCACACCTCCTTTTTACCCGAGAGGAAATATAAAAGAGTTTTTCCACTTTAAGTGACATTATTCGATATGGGATTATTTATTTTATTTTCAGAGTCGCCACTTGAAATATTTATTATGATGTCCCAAGTCACCGGTTTATTTTAAAATCTCAAATTGAGGAAATTTTGACTTTATTTAAAAGTCTGCGAAACCAAAAAACTAGATAAGGAATTCTGTTAACCCGGGAGAATGTGTTAGGCATTCCCGGGTTCCGTGGTTCTAGCACGGTTACTTAACTATTAATAATTGGCCTAGTCATCTGATTCATTACTTGTTTTAAATTTATTGTGCATTTTTAACTTTATAACCGCTTTTTTAGGATTTATGAAATTTATTTGAACGAGTCACGATGTCGTACACTTGTTTTTTTTTGTACATATTGCGAATCGCGTCACATGAAATGCACCCGCAATTCACAACATGTTTATTTTAATTAATGTTCGAAGTTATGGTTGGGTCACATGAAATGCACACCCGAATGAGAATTACATATCGTGACCATGCCACGAGAGTCGTACACATAGCCACAATAAGTTATTATTATTATTAATCGTGCTTAAAGCAAGCTACGATGTTCATAAGTCATTTTCCTAAACTAATTTGAGATTATTGTGAGGCCAAGAGTTATGGACATTGTCGTGGAAGAGATGTCTGTGGCTTAGCTATTGGAATTATAAGAATCATTTATACTATGTAGTTTCCATTTTCCTCTTAAAAGTTAACGGCTAATCTAACAAATGAATACACTAATTTTGATAACTATGTAAACTCAAAGGAAAACAATGTACTTATTCAACAATCTTTTATAAAAAAGAAAGAAAACTTAAAGCAAAAAAACATTTGTCATTGAGCAGCTACAACACATGTAAACCATATCGTGTGATGTTTCAGTTTTTGACAATAATTGCTTAATGAATGCAAAAATCCTTCAATAGCATTTTTAGTAATCAACTTTGACATTGCATCTAGATTAGGATTAAGAATCTGCAGTATGCATCCACCAATTCTTTCAAGTTCTATGTGATTATCTTTGCAGTAAGCTAGCATATCAGACTCGTGAAACTCTACTCTATCATCATATATTGGTTCCATTATCAATGGCAACAGTTCCCTTATTTCTTGTCAAATAATAGAAGCCAAAGATACTAACTAACCAAAGATAGGAAAATACTTAATGTGAACTAAACACAGTGATGCAAAATCATAATCCACACAGAAAGACAGTATCAAAATGCTAGCAAACAGAAAGCTGACCATTAAATGAACAGAAGCTTTGAAATTTGTTTAAATATTGAATTTCTCTGAATACATCGAGGAAGAGAGTACCGATATAACTCAAACACTACCCGAGTCACCAACTAAACGGAAAACTCGAACCGGGGGACCTCGACAAACTCGGAGCTCACCGGAAAATATGACAAAAACAGAGACAAAGCACCGGGCTACCAGAAAGGCAATAAGGTCACTGGCGAAGGTTGTGACTCCGGCCAAAATGTACGACAATAGTATGTGGCTGCCGGAAATGTTATTTCTCGGCCAAAAACCAAAAAACTCGGCCAAATCTAGTATTTACTCCATGAAAGAACCAAAATGAAAAAATAAGGAGATGAGGGAGAGAGGAAATGAGGCAGAAAGACCTCCGGCATCAGAGTTGCATCTCCGGTGACTATGGGATTTCGATGTTCGACGCAGGTGATAAAAACGGTGGCTATGGGATTTCGATGTTCGACGCAGGTGATAAAAACGGTGGCTATGGATGTGGTCGACAGTCATGAGTTTAATGTGTTATGGAGCTAATGGAGCTATGGAGGAAAAGAAAATCAAAGAAGAAGATAATTTCACACCTTTTTTTTCTTTTTGGAATCTGGATGAGGAAGACAACTTATGCGGCGCTAGCGATTTTTGCTTTTACTCCCCCTCACTGCGTGCTCTCTCTTTGTGATATATATCTCTTAAAGAAAAAGACCAAAACGTGTGGGACCCCATGGAATCAAATGCCAGCCCCAAAAATTGTAGTGGGTACAGACAATGACAAAAAAAAGAAAGATTGAATATGTGCAAAGGAACGTGCACTATTAAGGACATTGGGAGAATATTTTTGTGATGAGGTGTAAAAGGTTAAATGGTGCTATGATAAATATAATAAAAATAATGAAAAATACTATACATACTAATGCTAACTATTAGTAATATGTTACCTAAAATCAGCCCAAAAAAAAAAGAAACAAACAAAATATAAACAACTATTCAATGTTAAAAAAAATAAAAGTAAAAATTGCCAAGAACATTTAAATGCCAATCAGCCACTACTATTTGTTATAACCAAAGAAAAATATTTTCCATTTCTTATCTTCACGTTTGCAGCTACCGTTCTTTCTTTTTCTAATTTCTTATTTTTCTTCTTTTCTTCTAAAGATAAAATTCCAAAATACTAATTATCTAAATAATAAGAGAAATAAGATAAAAATCTAAATACTACTCAATATTTACTAAATACGTGCAACTTAAAATCACACTAAACCAAGTAAAAAAATATTTTTTTAAAAATTTTATTTTTTTCTTTTGTAAGAAAAATATAAAACTAACTAGACAAAATATCAATAAACTAAAACAGAGGAAATATTTTTGTAGTTTTTAATTTTTAAGATAAAATAAAGCCTAAAAAAGTTCAAAATAGTCAAAATAGTATTGTTAGACCTAAAACTAATATCTAGGCACTAAAAGGTATAAAGTTTCGGGGAGGGTAAAAATTACATGTGTACAGCTGCCCCTCTTTGTCTGGAAAGGCGAAGAGTTTTCAGACAAATAACGACGACACAGGTTTTTTGACCCGACCCTTATTTAGGAGACCAAAAACTAAGAGAAAGAAGAATGTGACCGAGCCCCAGTATCTGAGCTGCCTACATATCCTTGGCCATAAAGGAATCAGGTCACGTGTAGTTCAGACGTGAATGAAGTTGTTAGAGATAGCTATGTAATTGTCCCACATTGGAATAGGAGTAGTATCCCCTTTGTATAGAGTAGCTATAAATAGCACCTCTTGTATTGCATCACACACAATATATCAATATATATCATATTTTTCTCCCGTGCCTTCTCACATGGTATCAGAGCTATCGTGAGAGATTTATCGCTGTGCATAAATTCCAGCAATTTCGGGAAGTAAAATCAGTCACTGGAACCCTTTTTTTTCCGGCGACTTTCAAAGTTGTTTTGCGTCTGCTTTGTCTCGGTCAGTGTTGTGCACAAAATCCAACACTACCACAAGAGTAGTCACTGTCCGGCAACCAAATCCCAATGAAAATCTCCGGCGGTACTGTAGCTATCCAAAGAAAATTTTCCGGCGAAGTTCCAACGTTACGTGGGCCACCTTCCGGCCATTTTTTGGCGACGACTCTTCAGGACAGATTGTTTCCCTTGCAATTCCGAGCCTACCCATCCAGGTTACACCAAATTCCGACCACTTTTTTATTTTTTCGGCGTGAATAGTGATTTCAAAAAAATGGACTTCCGGCCATTTTTTTAAAAAGTTCCTTCAGAACAGTTGGGTCTTCTGGTAATTTCGATCCTACCCCTACTGTTTTTATTTCATTCCGACCACTTTGAATATTTTCCGGCTGCAACAGTAACTTTCCAACTGCTACAGTAGTTTCCTATTTTGGTTCAGTGTTCCTTACTCTATTTTCAGTGGATTACAGTTGATTATTTCTCTTATTTGGTAATAATTTACAAGATGTCTTTGGGAATTGATGTTTTTGGGTCTAAAAGCATGAGTTCTGGAAACTCTAATGTTATGATTACCTCGGAACCTTTAATGGGAGGTTCAAACTACTTAGCTTGGGCTTCATCTGTCGAGTTGTGGTGTAAAGGTCAAGGTGTGCAAGATCATCTGATTAAACAGTCTAGCGAAGGAGATGAAAAGGCGATAGCGCTTTGGGCAAAAATTGATGCTCAATTATGTAGCATCTTGTGGCGTTCTATTGATTCTAAGTTGATGCCTTTGTTTCGGCCATTCCAGACATGTTATTTGGTTTGGGCAAAGGCTCGTACGTTATACACTAATGATATATCTCGCTTCTATGATGTGATATCACGGATGACAAACTTAAAGAAGCAAGAATTAGATATGTCTACTTACTTGGGTCAGGTACAGGCAGTCATGGAGGAATTTGAGACATTGATGTCAGTTTCTGCTAGTGTGTCAAAACAACAAGAGCAGCGACAGAAAATGTTTCTAGTTCTTACACTCGCTGGACTTCCTCATGATCTTGATTCAGTACGAGACCAGATTTTGGCGAGTCCGACTGTCCCTACAGTTGATGAATTATTCTCTCGATTACTTCGCCTTGCTGCAGCACCAAGTCACCCAGTGATTTCATCACAGATACTTGATTCCTCTGTTCTTGCATCCCAGACAGTGGATGTTCGGGCATCTCAAGCTATGGAGAATAGACGAGGAGGCGGTCGTTTTGGGAGATCTAGACCCAAGTGTTCTTATTGTCACAAACTTGGACACACTCGCGAAATGTGTTATTCCTTAAATGGCCGTCCACCCAAAAATGCCTACGTTGCTCAGAGCGAGACTACAGGTAACCAGGGCTTTTCTGTATCTAAAGAAGAATATAATGAGCTCCTTCAGTATCGAGCAAGTAAGCAAACATCTCCACAAGTAGCCTCAGTTGCCCAGACTGACACTCCTATTGCTGGTAATTCTTTTGCTTGTGTTTCCCAGTCTAGTACTCTTGGACCATGGGTCATGGACTCAGGCGCTTCTGATCATATCTCTGGTAATAAATCACTTTTGTCGAATATTGTATATTCACAGTCTCTTCTTACTGTTACTTTAGCCAATGGATGTCAAACTAAGGCACAAGGAGTTGGACAAGCCAAATCATTGTCTTCTATCACCCTAGATTTCGTTCTTTATGTTCCTGGTTGTCCTTTTAGTCTTGCATCTGTTAGTCGTTTGACTCGTTCCCTTAATTGTGGTATATATTTTATTGATGATTCTTTTATTATGCAGGACCGCAGTACGGGACGGACAATTGGTACAGGTCGTGAATCAGAAGGTCTTTACTACCTTAACTCACTTAGTCCTTCCACAATATGTCTAGTTACAGATCCTCCAGATCTAATCCACAGACGTTTAGGACATCCAAGTTTATCCAAAATTCAAAAGATGGTGCCTAGTTTATCCAGTTTATCTAGATTAGATTGTGAGTCGTGTCAGCTTGGGAAACATACCCGAGCTTCCTTTACGCGTAGTGTTGAGAGTCATGCAGAGTCTGTTTTCTCCTTGGTTCATTCTGATATATGGGGTCCTAGTAGAGTCAGTTCAACCTTGGGATTTCGTTATTTTGTTAGCTTTATTGATGATTACTCAAGATGTACTTGGCTTTTCTTAATGAAAGATCGTTCTGAGTTATTCTCTATATTCCAGAGTTTTTGTGCTGAAATCAAAAACCAATTTGGTGTCTCTATCCGCATTTTTCGCAGTGATAATGCCTTAGAATATGTATCTTCTCAGTTTCAGCAGTTT